GCTCTTCTGCTTGAAAGCAGTTGTGGGGATCAAGTTGGATACCTGTGAGGCTGACATCAAGCACGAGGAGCCAGGTTGGCTGTGTTTGAGGATTCAGGCATAGTTCGACTTCTGAGGTGAAGAAGGTCGTCCAGCCGTTCACGGAGATCCTAGAGCCGCCGCCCTTTGCCTCCAGCTGGTGCCGGGTGCAGCTCCACGACCTTTCCATCGACCTGGCCCCAGTACAGGCACTTGTTGGGGATTTGCTGTTCAGCTCGCAGAGATCCGTGGGGGCGGAGTAAAGTTCTGGAGCTTGGCATTGACGGGTGCTTCGGCTCACTGAGGCTACGCCTGAGTCGAGTTTGTCTTAACCACGTGGGATCAGGATTCCGAGCCACACACCAAAACTAGACTCACTAGACCCTGACTAGCACTTCTAAAGCTGAATCGACACAGAGGGCTTGCAATCCCCAGGGCCCAGCCAAAACAGTGAACGGAACAGCCCGATTGCATTTGCCGGGCTTCCCGACGTCCGTGTAGGAGTTCCCCTTCCCTTCGAAGCTGAAGCTGCCGTCACTGCTGCAGCTGTACTGCACATGGCTGTACTTTGAATGCTCTGGTTTTGGAGGGCTATAGCTCATGCAAAGGCACGGCGTCCACACGTTAGGATTGCTTCATTGCTTTTCACATTTCGAGATGTATCAGATTTTCCTAACCATAAGTGACCATGCGATGCTGGGCCGCTAGGCTTCTGGGTCTTGAGCTTCAGACTCCAGAGATCTTCAGATGCGGCAAGAATTTGAACCAGGAGCCCTTGCCGAAGACCTGCGACTCCCTCCGAAACCCTCCAAATACCTTTGCACTGTGGTGCTTCAAAGGGTTTGCCAGGTGGAGCAGTCTGGCTCGAGTGTCGGCATCGGCTCGGAGCGGTTCGCGACCTTAAAGCTAAACACGCAGCCCCCAAAACTGTAGCTCGACATGGCTCTAAACTCTATAGACTCTATACCCCTGAACCCCTTGACCGCCCTACCCTCGAACCCTCAACTCCAGAAGCTTGAGTTCTGGACAACGTGAAAAGTTCACAACTTCTAATTGCCCAGGCTGACCAGCCTCTCCGGCTTGGGTGAGCTCTTCACCGCCCTCGAGACTCTGCCCTCGAGGCTTGGGGTTTCAGGGCTTCGATTTCGGGCTTACAGGGTTACTCCCAACTGTACAAGTCGTTGCGTCCGCCTTCCGCGGGCAGCAGAGACTGGGGGGAAGCATTTTGGGGGGGTCGTTGCGTTTGCGTGCACACACTCGTGTTTCACATGTTATTCTATAACGTGCTATCTCTTTACCTATTTACCCCTAGCTATCGTGAAATAGCAGGCGTTCTGGGTTTGTACTGTATGGCAGTATGACGGCGACGACGACGACTGCTACTATTACCGTCAGCATCCTGAGTCGCATCGATTTCGTATGGATCCTTGCAGAGCCTGCGGGGAAAGTTCCGGGAGGGTCGCATCAACTCTTCTTAAGTCCATGCCAGTATACTTGGTGTTTCCCATGATTCGTTGAGCTAGGCGAACGTCATCGTGCTAAGACACTTCCGAACCCGGCCCTGAAATGCCCGACGGAATGATCTGCTTCATAGCTCTGTGGGAACCGCTGTTCAAGGGGTAAGCACTTGAAATGCCCGACGGAATGGTTTGTTTCATAGCGCTCTCTCGGGACCGCTGTTCAAAGCGCAAACATTTGAAACGGGACCACTGTTCAAGGCGTAAACACTTGAAATGCGCGACGGGATGATCTGCTTCATAGCTCTGTCGCGATCGCTGATCAAGGCGTAAACACCTGAAATGGTTGACGGAATTATTTGTTTCATAGCTCTCTCGGGACCGCTGTTCAAGGTGTAAACACTTGAAATGCCGGACGGAATGATTTCTTTCATAGCGCTCTCTCTCGCGATCGCTGTTCAAGGCGTAAACACCTGAAACGATTGACGGAATGATCTGCTTCATAGCTCTCTCGCGATCGCTGTTCAAGGCGTAAACACCTGAAACGATTGACGGAATGATCTGCTTCATAGCTCTCTCGGGACCGCCGTTCAAGCCGCAAACAGCATGGTTGCAACGACCCTGCCGCGACCCCCTCCTTGCGCTCTGTTCAAGGGGTATTCGTACACGGAAGCAAGAATGCAAGGACTTTAGCGCTTGGGAATACTTACAGGGTTATTCGGTCCCACTATAAGCCGCCCGGACTTGCTGTGCCGACCCGGTGGATGAGGTGGCCTTTCGAAGAGTTGACGGTCGAGGAAGATGTTTTAGGATGGGGATGTCAGTCGGTAACTTTCGACCTGAGAATCAGTTTTCAACCCGACTGTCGCTAAGCAGGAATCGCGCGAAATCTTCGAGCCCAAAGCCTCAAGCCAGCCAGTTCAATGCCGCAGCCGTAAGCTCTGCAGTCTCCCACCCACCCAGAACTCCGGATGCTGAGGCATGTTTGGAGTGGCCGCCACTGCGAGGGAAGAGGATGGGTGCACCATAGGGGGTTAACGGGTCACATATTTGGCTGGTCGGGAGGATGTTGATGGACGATCCGTTACGCATAGGACCATGCGGTGCCTCCCGGAGGCTTTCCACCTCGGGGTTTGGCCTTGAGCAGCCCTTCGTGAGAGTTACGAAATAGTTGAAAAACACTCGACCCTTACCGTTTCTTTCTTCACGGTGCACCTTCAGGAGCCCGCTCTGAGCCACAGTGCGGACCTCAATCACTCCGTGTTTGGCTGATTTCGGGTTTCAACATTTTCGGCAGTACTCTTGTCCTCTCAGGATGAATCAGCCTTTCTGGAAATCTGTGTCTCTCCAAAGGTGCTAGAGGCAGGTTCGTGTTCGGTAAAGCTGGCAAAAGCTTTTGTAATGTGGTTATCCCTTAGATAGCAGTCGACATGCGGAGTCACCTTCTACTCGATGAAGCGAGCCATTGTCGTGATGCAAGCGTGTGAAGATGGCAGGAATGCATGACCTCCACAGCCAATCAAGAACTGCGGTGCAGAGCAAGGATGTACCTCCACAAGCTTCCAAGTGTCTCCTCACCAAGCCTGGAAACCTGACGATCTCACATGCTTGTAGCGAGCCACTGGGTTTTTGGAGTTACCATGCTCAAATCCAGCATCTTAGGCAGGGTGAGCCATCTGCCGACAGAAGTGTCATGGCTGGGCAAAGCGAGAATACGGCTCGAGGAATGCAGGTATGCTTCGGCTTGCGGGCTGCGATCTCGGGACTGGAAAGGGCTCTGTTTTTTTTGAAGTTAGTTTGACCACGCTTGCAGGATGCCTGGGTGTGGGACCCAACACCTGCTGCAAACCCAAAGACTCCTCAACCCCGCAGCCCAGGTCGACCACCTGGCAAATTTGAATCAAAGCCAGAAGCGTAAGCCATCCAAAGCCTTAAATCTTCAGTCCGGACACGCCGAAGCATAGTGTAATCCATTGAAAGTTCTTTTCAATTTTTCTCAACGTATATAATCAGAAGCTCCGAGGCTTCGGCTCCACGCACATGGGTATCCCTGCGCGCGGCACGCAGCGTCCCGGCGCATGGGCAGCGAGGCGAGGAGGGTTACGCCACCTTACAGTCTTACAGCTGCATGATTTTCTAGCTTTAGGGGTTTTACTCGGGTCGTATAGTTACTTTAGGGTCGCCTCCAGGGGTTTTGAAATGCTTGTAGCTTAGAGTTCTGGCGTTGAGTTCAGCCTAAGAAGTCGGAGTTCGGTGTTTGGACTTTGGGCTTCTGGTTGGATTTTGGGACTCGGGTCTTCAGCAGTGATTGCCGATTTTGCACCTTCCCGCAGACTCTCATGCCTCCAGTCAGGCAGGCTCACAACGGAGACTATGTGCCTGTTGACTACGACGAGCTCGTGGATTTCCGGCTGAACGAGCAGTCTAATCCCCGCCCCATCCCCATGTGCTCTCGCACTTGCGGCATTGTTGGAGTGAGTTGGATCCCAGTGCAGAAGGCCAAGCTTTCCGTTCGCCTGCAAAGCCCTGAACTCCAGAAAGGAGATGTTCCGAGCACACATCTCTGCGCGTGCACTGGAGACTGTCCTGGATGCCGCACAGCGTGAGCTGGTAGAGGAGAAAGCAGGAGACGGCCATGATGCGAGTTACGGATGAGCTTGAAGCTGATGTGCCCTACATAAGTGTTAAAAGGTCCAGGTTGAGTCAACTATGCATACACAGGGATGTGTCTCGGAGCATGCAGCTGACTTCACCTCCAATGCGAGCCCTTCGATTTAAGCTCACAGGCAGATTCCTGAACGGTTGCCCGATCGATGCAGACTCGCAGTCGTCGCAGAGCCTGAGCCATTCACCTAGCCTACACCAGTGAAGTGCGGTCGAGGTGAATGAATTCCATGTGGCTCCTGTATGCTCGACACGAACCTCCGCGCACACACACGCACACTCGAAGCTTATGGAAGGAGCAGGCATCGATGCCGCTGCGGTTGTGCTGAGCCAGTCGCCCACAGCTTCATCTCCCAGAACCTTGGCTTCGATGGGCGACAGATTTTTGACGGCGTGAGTCCTTGGAGGCTTGCTCGATGCAATGTTCGAGGTGTCGTGTCTCACTTGAAGCGAACGGGACTCGGATTTCAGAATCGGTTTAGGTTGGCCAAGGAGCTTACAGTAGCAGCAGACATTAAGTGTTCTGAATACATGCCCAGAAGCCGAAGCCTTGCACCCGATGGCCCCATGGCCCTGGAGGCCAAAGCAAGTGTACCAGATGCTAGCCAGTGCTAACTCGCATATTGCTCATTTGTGCTGCTGCGCAGCTCCCAGAGTGCGGGACAAACTGCAGCCATTGGTTTCCCGGTGTCGACAGATTTTCATGGCTTCCGACCATTCCTGCTGCATGACGTGGTAGCCACGAGCCTGAAAGCCGAGGGTCTAGACTTTGCATATGTTATGTAGCGGACTTCAGTCTAGAAAGGTTTTCGAAGGCTTCGGGCAGCGCTTGGCGCCATTCCGGCCGGAGCACCGTCCTGTATGCTTCCATCTTCACCAATCCAAGATGAGATCAGCAAAATCTCTGACAAAGCACGGAGCATAGGCATCTTGGCTTCCCCGTCCACCCTGCAGGATCTTTACAGACAGAACCTGTGTGACGTGGAGGCCCATTTCTGGCGGGAGCTCAATGCTGCTGGCTCAATCTATGAAGTCATTCTGGCAGAGGAGAAGTGCAGGGAGCGCTGCCACACAGTTTCCACGACGCTTCTATTGGACTTGCTGAAGAAGCAGGCTGACTTGTACAGAACGGGTCCACCTCCACCCACCACCCTGCTCCTTGGCCTGCATCTTGTGGCGAAGCTTTGGCTTGATCCTGGGGAGGTTGTCCGCTTGCTGGCTTGTGGGATGGGTTGTTTGTTCCTTGCCGAGAGCTGGGCCACCTCTCCGGAGTGGCGGGCGCTGAGCCTGGAAAGCGTTGAAAGAGTTCTGTCCGGTACAGCCTGCCCTGCCCTGCGCGGTCTTGTCGGCAAGCAGGTCATAGCCATCTCCACCATTGGCTGGATTGCACAAGTGCCCACATTCACCCACTTACACGAATTACATATCGCAGAGATGCCTGGAGAGAAAATGTCTGAAATACTCGAGCTTCCCAGACTGAGGGTGCTGAACGTGAATCAGTTGTCTGGACTTCTCCCTCTTGACATGCAACCCCAGGCCCCGCGGTTAGAGATCTTGATGGGGCCAGGTAGGCTAGCGTCAGTCTTGGCTTGTCCGAATTTACAGAAACTCCTGGTCCGAGTAGACATCGGTGCAGATGCGTGCAGCCTGACGCCAGCTCTCCAGTCGAGATCGTTGGTTGCCCTGGACATCTTGGACCCACACCGCAAGTTTACGTTGCGAAGCTTATTCACAGCGATTCGCAATTCCGGGCTTCCATTCCTTCAACGGTTCGTGTACCTTCGCACTGCTGCTAGCAAGAATCACGACCTGTTTGAAGGCACCCTGCTCGCATTTCGATCGTCGCTGCCCATGCAAACCTTGAAGTTTGCCTGTTTGAGCCTCAACGAAAGTCCGGATCGCAAGGAGAGGCTGGAGACCCAAGTGGCTAGCATCATTCAAAGGGCACCTGAACTGGAGTTTTGGGTCCCGGACTGGCCCGGGGATCCCCCGAATCTTCCCGGTCTCTTCGGGAGTCAGCTCGGAGCCTCGGCCCGGAAATCTTGAAACATGGGATGGAAGGAAGATTAACATGCAATATGAGCATAAGATGTCAGTATGTATGCCAATCTAACTGCAAATGCTGCCGGCGTTTTTCCTGTGAGTATGAATATTATCACTGCCAGTCAATATGAGCATTACAAGTAGTAGAAGTAGTACAGAACAAAAACCATGTACCGGTATGCATGTGTACGTAGGTAGGTAGGTAGGTAGGTAGGTAGGTAGGTCGGTCGGTCGGTCGGTCGGTCGGTCGGTCTGAATGTAATGTAAGTACGAATGTAATGTAATGAAATATGTATGTATCTATGTACGTACGTACGTAGGTAGGTAGGTATAGGTAGGTATAGG